CCCCAAAACCCCAAAACCCCAAAACCCCAAAACCCCTTTCCTCCACCCCCATATTGCAATAATAATTAAAAAATGGACAAAACTCCACTTAGCCCCAAATCCTCCACTCTTCCTTCCCCTCCCAACCCAAAAATTCTACTTGAAGAAGAGATCTCTACTGGCCTGACGCATATTGACTGGCATCTGTTTGACAATCTTATAGGAGTAGGGTGAGCTAGGATTAGAGGGGAAGGGGATAGGGGAGTTTGGGTACAGGGCAATGGGGAATTGGGTACAGTGAGTCTGGGACTACAGTTTGAGACGATAAAAGAGCCAAGGTTCAACACTTTTTAGGATACTGAAAGAGTTTAAGGTGTTTGATAGAGTTGCTGATGATAAAAAGCCTTATATTAAGATAAGAGGTTTTGGTGAGAAGGAGATCTCAAGGGCATGTTTTCGTAGAATTATTCAATCTATGCGTAAAAGTGCAAGGAAAGAAGCTGAGCATTATAGTCTATATGTCAAGATGGCTGATACAGGAGGAAAGAAGCTTCCATTTAGGTAAGACTTTTACTAACCTTTATAATAAAATTTATTTCAAAATACCTTAAAATTATATTGTTAATAATCTTTTATCTTTCCTTCAATGAATGAAAAAGACGACAAATTGTTTTAGCTTATGAAAGATCAATATTTTCAGGAATCTCCACATGATTAAGGAGACTCTCAATATAGAAGGATTCAAACTAGGAAAATAATGATATTATGAGAGTATTAGTAGCTTCAAGACACCTCTTTGTCATAAAAATTTCCGATTGACAGATTCCTGAGCAAAAATTTACCAAAAATTTCCTTAACACAAAAGTCCAAGAAGGAATCAACATCGAGGAGATCTGCTTCAATGATTGTACCCTCATAGACCAATCAGGAGAGAAAAAGCCTTTGTACTTGATCAAGAACCTGATGGATGGGATCCTTGGTTCTTCTCTACCAAAATACATAGACAACATATCCTTCAAATATAGCGACCATTCTTGATTCATGTCTCTTAAACAAGCTAGTCATCACTACAAAAAGGATAAAAGACTCATTATAATGTTAGAGATGTGTAGGGTCTCCTTTGACTTCATGGAAAAAATGGAAGAAATCGATGAACTAGATTAAAATGGCAAAATTAGTATAATTTCAACTTTTAATTTTTTTTGCGGGGTTTTGGGGTTTTGGGGTTTTGGGGTTTTGGGG